TTTACTCTTTATCTTTTTCTAATTCTTAGAACTAGAAAAAGATGAAGAGTAAATTGAACCGAGATTAAAGTTAGTCTACATTGGTGGAAACGGGAATTAGAGTCATAATCTGTTCGGGAAATCGCGACTTGCGAAAGACAGCGCTGATTGATGGGAAAGTATCGATGGATATCGATGAATCCTCGAAACGAGGCGAAGCTCTTGTTAACGAAAGAAAGCTGCGAGCGAATCGATCGCTGTCATGCTTGTCATTCGCGATCTGCCAATTACGCGTAACGCAACTCGATAACTGTCGCAGCGCGGAAACTCGCTGACAGCGTCTCGAGTCATTCGGATTCCACTCGCGTCTGATTCCTTCGAGGGAAAAGTGGATCGCGCGAACATATTTTGCTCATTGTTTGCAGACTGTCAGAAGTATTCCCGCGAACGCAACTCTCGCTAGCGACACATTTTAATTGTTTGCTTAATGAGTTTCGTACTCATTTTACCGTTATACCACGGTGGAGTTTTTCATTATCTTGAGCGCATAAATTATAAATTTGTGGAAATAAATGAATAAAATAATTATTTTAAAATAATAATTTAAATGTTTTTAATTTGATAAATATTATACGATTCACAAAATAAAAATAATTTTTATTTTTAATAATAAAGTTTGCTATTTAACATTTAAATATTTTTTATTTTATTTATTAATTCAATAAAAAATACTTAATTGACAAATAACATTTTAAAATAACAATTATTTTAAATAAATTGTTTTTAAACTTAATTGATTTTTATTTTACTAAAAATAAAAATTATTTAATTGTCGAATAGCAAAACTTTGTACTTTACACTATTATCCAGCTATTTACGTCATTCGAAAGTTTATATTAAATGGCATTTATTTTTTATTAGCGTTTTCACTTTTGCGCGTTACCTGACAATAACGCCCGCCGATGCGGGAGGATCGCAGTGTGTTCAAACCATGCAAGCCACGTTTTACGTAATCGCACATGCCGGCATAGTTTTCAACGAGGAAAGTGTGTAATCGAGCGACGTGTCCACACGTCGATGGCACGGCGTTACGTCGGATTATACACGCGCGTATAATAAAAAAAAAAAAACAAGACTTTGATCGGCGCGCGATTCCTCTAGTCAAAGTCCTTTCTCACATACGATACACAGCATCTTGCTTGCGCAAAGAATAAACAGCTGGAGATCCTTTCCAACAAGTGATGCGTCCGCGGCGCGGAGTTTCGCACCGCTAGTGATGATCTTTCTCTATTAAACAAAAAGAAAGTTACCGTCGAATCCCCGGCGAGCATTAACGGTCGATCCGTCCAATAAAATTCCTTCCCGCCTTCCTTTGATATTTTTCCCGTTGCGACGATTCGCTGTTACGCAACTCTCTAGTTGGTATTTATATGTAGGTGAGATTCATAGACGGTTTTTATATTTAAAGTCGTCTTAAGTACAGTCTCAAGATGTCATAAGCCAATCATAAAAACTGTATTAGTATTTTAAGACATTACTTAAGCTTGTTTAAATAATAACGGATTATAAGTACCAGCCTTCTGCCTTCGGTTTGAATGTTTACGTGTTGTAAGCTTCATTCTATTTTTATTGCTCATTACAGAAGGAGTATAAAATGAAACGTTCAACGTGTGAGCGTGCAAACCGAACGCAGCTACAGTGTGACACAATGATCGTTTTATTTTTGTTTAATATTGGTAAACAATAATAAGGATGAATAATTCGATATCGCATGCTTATGCAATTGTATATTTTGTAGCATTATTTTTCGGTTATTATCGATCTTAAAGACATCCACATTGGAAGTCTATCTTACTTTGATTATAACGTGCAATGCATTCGCGAGACTCGAAGAAAGAACCTTGGTTCATCTAATGTTACTTTGGAGACTATTAATTTATTTGAGGCTATTTATGATAAAAAATCTGGACATACGGCCCTGCAGTTTGCAAAATTTGAAGAAGCTATGAGAATCGGAAAAATGAACAACTTGGTCGCCAATTTTGTTACGTAATCAAAATCATTTTATTTTTGAAAAAAATGTGAATTGCATGCGTAAAAATGCAAAGTTTTTTAAAAATAATTTTTACGATTCTTTTATATCTTTTGACTAAACTGTTAAATGCGTGCGTGTCGATTATTTATGTTCAATAACATTTAAAATTTTTTAATGTGATATTGAAGATGACCTGTTGTTAAAAGGTTGAAATGTCTGTTTATATATATGAGGTATTAAATTATTCATGTTAGCAAAAACGTCCAGCTTGGCTCTCTAGTCTTTATTCTATTAGTTTTGAATTTTTATTTTCAAGAACCTCTTATTATAATTGAATTAAATTTTAATTTAATTATCTATAACGTAAATATTTATATAATGATTAATTACATAATTTATATAATGATTAATTACATAATTATATAATTGATATATTTAATTCGATGTAATTAATATTGACCGTATTTTCATATAGTCAAGTCTTCATATTTAAGCCCATTTTAAGTACAGTTTAAGATGTCGTAGGCCAATCACCGAACCGTGTGTTAACATCTTAAGACATTACTTAAGACCATGAATACCGGCAAAAACGATCGGAACAGGTTTTCGTGAACGTCGGATAGATGTGCGGAACCGATCTACTAGTCGACAGTCTCGTTAGAGCACGAAATGTCACGAAGTGCTATCGCACAACCGCTTTCGTAACGAATGTCGTAATACCTACAGCTTCTCGTATACAATACTTTCAATAACAAGTTTCACCTCGTCTAACGAACCAACTCGGCTCGTTGTAGTGTCCAAAGTACTCCTAATTAACAGAACATCACTCGCATTGTGTCTCACCATTTTGTGTCCAGCTGTTGAGATCGTGGCAGAGCATAGTCCAATCGTCCTCCAGATCCTGGAAAGTCGCCGTTGACGATTTCGCCGGAAATATCCTTCGTCCTTGCGCCATGTCACGATGTCGCCAATCGCGATCAGAAATTCGCGATCGCCGCCTGCGTGGTTCCACCTGTCGTGATGAATCCTTGGTCGAGAACGTCAAGATCCTTTCGCGAGTCTACACCCAAGAAAATCGACCGACGATTTCACGCCTGAGGATCCACGGAAATCGCACGAAACAATAACGATGATCACGACCGTTTATTTGGAGATCCACGAAGTTCTGAGTACGAATGTCGTTTTTTTTCGCGGGAACCGAACCGAGGTTGAAGCATGGGCGTTAAAACGACACCCGGCTGCACGCGTGTGTCCCACGAGCTTGCACATGCACCTGAACGCACCTGAAAGCACCTGAACGCACCTGAACGTGCGGAACGCTGCTCCGTTCTACCTCTGCTCCGCTCCGCATGGTCGCCGAGTTTCGCGTTGTTTATTTTTAAAAGCGCGCTCGGCCGTCCACTTGTCAACACACGCGTGTATTGTACATACGTACACAACACACGACGACGACGACGACGACGACGCAAGACGTTTGACTGATACGTGCATAATAAGTCCAAAGTTTCCTATCTAAGGATATAAAAAGTGATAAATGAACATGAATTCATCAACTTCAATACATAAATTTTTTCTATATATATTTGAAAATGAAAAATAATAATTTGAGACTGATTGTGAGTCGAGAATGAATGATGAAGTAATCTTCGCATGGTTACATTTTAAGAACAAAAATTCAAAAGTTTTTAATGAAATATAAGAAAATTAATTCATCGTTCTAGAAAATGTATTTTGGATGTATAAAGGACGATTGGATAAACGGTGATAGTTGAAAAATAAAAATATTTCATTTTTATCATTTTTTTTATATATCCTTCGACCGAAAACTTTTGGAACCTATGTGATTCGACTACAAACAAACGCTGCTTTTGTCACACAATGTCTGATAAGGTAGATCGCGTGATTTCTATCTCGAAATAGATTGTGATGAATCTAAAAAATGAGTGATAACAATCGATTGATAAACGTCCACTTGTTGCTTCGCTATCTTTCTTTTATTTCTTACATTATTATTAAGATTGTATTTTTAAATCTTCTTTCCCTCATTTACATGCAAACGTGAAGAAAATGATAAACGAAATTTTCATGGTACTTGGTAAATTTGTGTAAATCTTGTCATAAATCGTGGAATAAAATTGAAGATATTTCATTGTAATATATTCAGTAATAGATACAAGAGCTATATAAAAAGATGAATCTGAATTTATACATAAAGATATGATTTGTTTTCTAAACATTTCTTTAGAAAACAGGATTAAAAGTCAAGATGCTTTCGAGAAATGTTTAATGCGATATTCGCCGTGATTTTTTTTAACAGTTTATCAATTATCATTTAACAGTTTATCAATTATCAATTAACAATTTATCAACTATCATTTAACAGTTTATCATTTATTAAATTTTATAAAATTGTATATGATTCTTCTAAATACAAGGGCTTTCGAACTTATGACGTGGTGTCTAAAACGATCTCTGGACACAAGTATATACGAAGATTGTTTATTTATTCCTACAAATGTTCAAATACGAAGCGATTCGAGACAAGTACTCTTAAAAAAAGTAAGAACATTATTATTTGACGTAAGCACTTCTCATAAATAAGTTTTGTCTAGGTTAACACGTTAGGTTACTTATCACTATCTTAAAAGCTATTTTTGTACATTACGCATTTGTACACAGAGTAATGTGTTGCAGGTTTCGTTCAGAAATACGTTTCTTATAAAAATGAGCGTGAAATGCAATAGAAAACAGTCTTCCACGTTAAATATATATACATATCGGCGACATAAATAATGACGATGAACATTTCGGAAACTTGCGACAATACCGGAAGTTCGCGAAAGTGAGCAAAACGAGTATATCACTTTTTTCGGCACTTTTTATATGTATATTATATATATACACACACACACACACTATATATATATATATATATGTGTGTATATACAATTATGTGTGCGTCTATATATATGTGTATATATATATATATATATACACACACTCATTATATAATATACTCCACTGTTCAATGCTTTGATGATACTGGCGCACTTACATTTATTTAAAAATCACTTATAAACGATGGAATACGAATACTTTTTCACTCGTTATATGTATATGAGTAAACGATGTTTTGTAACGTAGAAGAGTTTTTTTTAATTCTGTCACACGAACATCAAATATTTATGGAGATAGACGGACTTCTTCCATGGTAAAAATTAAGTTATCCAATCCGTACAAGAAACCCTCTTCATGGTTGCCTTCTTCCCAAGGACGTCTGTGCGTGAGCTTTCGTCCGTCCGGTACCTTCCGTGTTTTCGCGAAATCTATCAGCCAAATACCCACTTTTTCGCTGTCGTGGATCATGAAAATACTACTACCGATTACCTGAAAAATAAAATAATACATTCAAATAAATAAATGTACAAAATAAACTTTACAATTTTTTTTTTTTTTGGCAGGTTTAAAAATTAACGTATCGTACCTCGTGAGTCTCAAAATACTTTGATTGCTCAATTTTGGTTCGCAGATTCCTGAGGCGCGTCAGAAGCTTTTGACAAGTGTCCTCGCGATCGCCGAGGAATTGTTTTATGATGTCGAGCACCTCCGAATGTGACTTGACCTTCTTGAGATCGGTGATCGGCGGCGCACCCGGTAGTTTCATCGCTTCAATACGAAAACCGTGGCTGCAGGTTGAGCTCTGCTCCTCGCGAAACTGCATGTACCGTAATTTGGTCACGGCATGTTGCTCGTGCTCTAACTGGGTCGGCGCGTTCGGATCGACAGCGATCATCTTCTCATAGAGATCCGGCCTAGCGGTGGTCTTGGACACCTCGGATTCGAGAAAGGTCCGCGTGCCCATCTTGATGTCCATCACATGCGGATCGTTAAATCCGAAGAGCAGATCCTGCAGCTCGATGAACGTATCGCCCTTGTACTCAACTTCCCGGTAATATCTACAAAGAAGAACCATAGTTGAGTCTCGCGGTGTCTATTTTATTACTTCTTACATAAATAAATAAAAAGATTTTCAAATAAACCTTGGAATGCAATCTCGCAACGCTTCCTCCTTGCTTAAGGTCTCGTAAACGATGCGTTCCGTGTTTTCAGCGCCGCCTGTTCGTCTTTTCCAGACAGTGCCAGGCCCGGCAGGTGCAAAGCCGTCCGGATGGCCTGATAATTGAAACCAGGACTTGAGTCGGTTCTTCAAGAGCACGTCGCTGGCCGGCGCCGTCAGATCTAGAGCATTCTGCAACATGGTCAGATGACGCAACCTATTGAATCGTTTTCCGAAAAACGTGTGCGATTGAAAAAAAAACCGGCTATGTACTCTTTAAAAAACTTTTAAAATGAATTGTCACTCTAAAGAGTGAAATCTCATAGGCTGATATTCATAGTTGATTCTTATTTCAAGACCGTCTTAAGTAATGTCTTAAGACGCTAATGCGGCCCTCTGATTGGTTCGTGATACCTCAAAACAGAACTTAACGGTCTTAAATATAAGAACTGACTATGAATACCGGCCTTAAAGATTGAAAATTGAGCCGCTCTTTTTCAAGACTAGCTTAATTTTCACTCTTACAGTGAGCTTCCACTCCAAAGAACTTAAAGAGTATAAATATAAATACACGTACCAGGGCGAGGAATTTCAAAGAGAGATCCTCGTCCGGCATCGTCGTGTCGGACAGGACCATGGGGAATTGTTCCAACTTTCGCATGGTGGCCGGATCGTTTGGTAATTTGGTGAGCGAGCTAGATGATCTGGAGCCGGCACTGCTGGATCGGTTGCTATGAGAACCCAACGAGGTGCTCCGTCGCCATTGACGGAAGGCGCTATAAGTGCTGGGACTGCCGCTACTTCCGCTGCTTCCGCCGCTACTGGATCCATCCTTCTGTCGACGATGATCCTTGTTGCCCATCGAATCATGACTGCTCAATCGCGTTTGCTCCTTGCTCGAGGGCTGCAACCAGAGAGGCCTACTAAGAATTTAATCCAACCGGGACAGTGCGTTACGCTATGGGCCGCGCCTCACCTTGAAATTTCAGTCGTTCAGAATTGAAGAAATCGATACGACGAAATCGCGTTCGATCGGATCGATTTCGTCATTGAAGCGGAAATCAAGAACTCTTCGATAAGACGATCCGAGTTATCTCGTTAAGCTTCGTCTACAATAGTCGCACAGACTATGTCGCATCCAGTCGCAAGAGCTCTTTGGTACTTTTGTCATTCTACCTTCGTTGTTTATTAGACGTAAAACAAGGATAGAATGATAGAAATAGCGCTAATAGCGTCTCCCCGAAGGCACCTTTTGTCGTACGGAGTTGAGCCAACTCCAACTTTCTACGACTGCGACAGCGTGTCGCATGAACTCAGCCAATCACAGCACAGCAAGTTGGCGTTTAGAATTTGTGGTTGAATTGCGTGCGAACAATCCTTGCGACTGTTGTAGACGTTCATTTACATTAGACGCAAGCCGATCGCCAGTTTGTTGCGACAGCCAATCTGAAACGTTGATTTCAAAATGCAAGCTTCAGATTGGCTGTCGCAACAAACTTGCGATCGGATCGCGTCTAATGTAGAATGGGCTTAAAGCTGGTTTTACATTAGTTGCATCGCAATGTCGCAAGCGTTGTGGTCCAATCAGAGTCGAGCCAGATTAACGTTGATTGGACCGCATCGCTTGCGACGCTACGATGCGTCTAATGTAGAATCAGCTTAACAGTCCTTAGCGACACTCTTGCGACATGCGACAAATTTTCCTGCGACGCTACTATTCGTGACACGGGATACAGCCTGTGTGACTATTGTAGACGAGGTTTAAGGCGTAAGAATATCAACTAATTACCCCGGATCTACAATAGAGTTTTAAGCCTTAAGTCGTAAGAAATTGACCAATTACAGTCGAATTCGAGGAGAATAATCGACTATGATTCGTCCATTTCTTATGGCTTAAGGTTTAAAATCCTATTGTAGATCCGGAGTTAGAGGTTTTTATTTCATGGAAAGGAAGAAAATGCAGAACTCTGATTGGTTCATTTTTTTACGCATTATGCGTTATACAAGACTCTGTGTTTCCGCCCCTTACTCTGAAGTCGCCGGCCGCGCGCGCGCGCGAAGGCTGTTTATTATTATTCGCCTTAAGTCGCGTTACCCCGTGCTTTTCAACGTGAATATTCGATATCGCGATACACCATTCATTTTAATTTCCGCGGCAAGGTTCGCGCGCACATAACTCGACCATGATTTTGGCCTCGATTATCAGCCCGCGTTATCAACTTGCGACTCATGTCTATGAATGCGAATGACGGCGAATCGGTTACTTATTAATAACGTTTGATAAATAGCAAAAACATATCATTGTTGAGGCATAATCAGATTCATAAATGGCGATTTATTTCATTACAATGTCGATAAAAAAAGAAAAGAGGACGGATGAAAAAAACCGCCGTGCGTGCCTCATGGGGGACGCGATGGGAGGAGGGAGGGGGAGGGAGGAGGAAAAAACCAGAACTCGAAGCGCAATCGTTCCATAAATACGGATCGCGTCTCTCACGCTACCTATTGACGTCAATGACTTTTATTCGAGCCGCATCGTGCCACTTGTCGCCGCAGGGCCAATTCTAGCGTGTTCGCGGTGCCCGATCACCCCGGGCGGGAAGAGAGAAACGATCGAAATGTCGAGGCTTTTTAATCTTTAATATACACGAGACGATGCGGATGTGTACCGACTATTTCTACACTCGCTTTAAATTTAGATCACCCGTGGATTTGACATTTTTTTTCCACGGGGCACACGATAACAAATTAATTCTTATAATTTAATTCATTAATGCGCGGCACGACATTCACGGCCTTAGGATAACTTCGACGAACCTCTCCGATTGACTTAATTAGTGATTAACTTATCAAGTAACACCTGTATTGTTTTGTTAACATGAAGAGTTATGTAACGCACTGAGAGAAAAACTGTTTGGTATTTATAACTATAATTACATATTATTATAATCGTATTATGACTATTATAGTGTTAATAATAATAACTATATGCATAGTTCTATCAACCAATATAGTTAGCAACCGAAAATGACTATAATTATAATTATTATAATCATAAAAATGGTTGAAATTACTATAAAAATTGATTTAAACAACTATAATTATATAGTCAATTAAATCACTTTGTTATGGTAATTTCAACCATTTATACGATTATAATAATTATAGTCATTTTGAATTCGTGTTAAATCTCGACAAATATACACTGAAAGAGAAAAGTATTTGATATTTGTGACTACAATTGCGTGGTAAAATAATTAGAAATTCCATTTTATGGTTATTACTACTATAATTTTAGTATAGTTCTCTCAAACATGAAAAAATTGTACTATAAATTATGTGTGTAATAATTTTAAAGTTTAATATAGTAAAATATCAAAATTCACATGGTAAATAAAATAAACCTTTTTATTCAGTGAATGCGATCGCAACAATTGTAGAATACAACTGTTTTCTTACAATTCACTTACTATTTATATGGTAATAATAATTTTTAAAAAATGTTAAGAAAAAATTAATAATTTTCAAGCAGCGTGTGTGAAACTATTATTAATAACACAATTGGCTATATTTGCACGGTTAAGACATTTATAAATACGTAGTTGTCCCAAAAAAAAAGACGATAAATTATGGTAATTGGCATTTTTTTCTCTCAGAGCATCGGCTTGCAGATTCTACAAGTCATACTACGTCAATCGGAAAGTAATGTTTACTTTCAAAATATATGTACGTTCCGAAGTGTTTTCGCAACACCAATTTCTCTCGTTAATAAAAGTATTAAAATACGCACCAATGATCTCGTCTTAGGCTCCAATCAACTTAGTCTTTCCATCCCGATTTCTTATTTTCTAATTCCGATTCTCTTGTCGATTTCTCTTTGTATCTCGTATAACGCCCCAGTTGCTACCAACTAAAAGTAACATAACAATCAATGTTATATTTCGCACTCAACAAGGTAACTGTTGCGTAACCACCGTGTATTATCTAATTAAAAAAGAGAAATCTTATCGGTCAAAGCGGATCTTAGTGTTTAAATATTTGTATGTGAATTTATATACACGTTCTGCAAATCGCGTGCTGAAATCTTTTTCGGTCTTGAAACGCAATTATGAGCACAAAACCAGAGTAATAATGTCACTTATTAGATTGACAAGCAATTTAATAATTTTTGATACTATAGTAAGCATCTTTATAAGTATATTAATAAGCAAATATTAATAAGAATCTTAAATTTGCGAATAATATTTATTGTAAAAATATTTCTTTAGTCGGGATTCGGACCATGTGTTATATATGTTACATTTATATTGTTAAGTACGAAGTTGTAATATTGATATTATGTAATATTGATATACTTTTTGTTGGTGTCGATTGGGGCGCAGTGTTATAATTCGAATAAACAAAGGAATTTTTTTATCGCTAATTTCATCGGTCTTTTTGCTTTGATGATGCAACGAAAAGTATAGCAAATGTACTATTATAACTGTTAATATAATTTTAACTGTTTGTATGATTTCTTCCTGTATTTACAACTAAAATATATAATCTTATCGTATCTTGCACATCGTAGATTACCGTAAAGTAAAACATCGCAAACAACTTAAGATTGTTTAGTGACTCGACGATAAAGACTCGGCGTCTACGAGCTTTTAAGGTGTAAAGCTTGAACTTTTAGCCTTAAACCGTAAGAAATTGACGAATCACAGTCGATTATTCTTTTCACATTTCGACTGTGATTGATCAATTTCTTCCGGCTTAAAGCTTAAGTTTTATTTTAGGACATCGCTGGGGATGGCTCGAACTGAATCGAAACGTTCGATATCATCTTATTATTTGTAAAGTCTATGAAATACATTTATTAATTATAACGCTCTAATAATTGCGTCGAATTTTTGCTCTCAATCGCCTGTCATTAATTTATATATATATTTATTTGTTATCTCGAGGGCTCAATTTTATCTTATTTTATTTACTTAAGTTTTATACCTAAAAATCTCATTGTAGACGCTGCTTAAATCGTTGCAATATTTCCACGTCGCGAAAATGCTCGATGGATTCCCTGTAACGAAAAAATTAACCCGCAGGGCTGTAAAGTAGCGGAAAAAGAAAATTGGTTGAGAAATACGTCTCTGGAAAAACAGCGGGCACGGCTAGCTACGCCTGCGTTTTAGAAAGAAAAACAAGCGTAAATGAATGTTAATTGTGCATAACGACGCGACGCCGCGGTGCTAAGTAGTCTCCGTTAAGTTCGGCCGGACACGCATTCGGCTTAATTCATATCCCGTTCATCCTGCCTCGAATCGTCGCTAATGGGCTTTTATGACGAATACAGAGTCGAGTAAATGGTGCCGCGAGTAACCCGACGCTTTAATTAATGAAATACACCGCTCGGCGTCCGTCGCACTCTGCCTTCATCGCTCCGCGACGCGGAGATCCGCCCGTCGGAAAGTCGGAATTCGACCGAGTGTTACCTGCGCTGTTACGAACGCCCGAGAATCCCGTTATTAAATTACCACGGCGAGATTATTGCCAACGATGAAATACACAACTTAACTCGTCGCTGCTCCGCGCGCGACTCGGTAACAAGTGTATCCGCGCTTAAAACTGTGTCACCGCGCGCCTCGAGCGATCTGTTTCGCAGCCGCATATCGCTCCGCGAAATCGTAAAGCCCGTGTCACACTATGCATTTGAGATTAAGGATTGCAAATTCGAAATTAGTGTTCGGCCAGATAATTTTTATTTCAATCCGATTCTCACTGACTAAATTCTAATTTCCAATTCGCAACCCTCAATCTCCAATGCATACCCAGACCAGCTCACACATAAAAAATGGGGATATAAAGCCCAATCTAAAATTGCGTAACTACAGTGTAAGAATTAACCCACTATAATCGAATATAAAAATATTCGACTGTGGTTGGTCAATTCTTATAACTACGCTTAAGCATCTACAATCACATCTACAATGTGATTTTAAAGTATGAAATTTAAACTTTAAGCCTTAAACCGTAAAAGATCGATTAATTATAGGAATTATGAAGAAAATAATCGATAAGAATCTTATTAGACCATGAGAACACAACAATAATCAAGAAATAAAGACCTATAACGGTCGAAGCTGAATCTTTGATGCTTAAATAATTCTCAATGTGGATTTTATATATATATATATATATATATATACCATACTTGTAGTCATTTTGAACTGCGCGCCAAAATTGTATCGGACTTAAAAATACAGCTAAACTACTGAAATAATATTACAATTTTTCATGCTCAATAGGCATCTATTAAAGAATACTTAATATGCTGAAAATTTGTAAATAAATTTATTCATTGTGAAAAATATTACCTCGGCTGAGAGTCGAACTCGGATGTGAAAAATAATCGACTAAGGTCAGTATTCATAATCAGTTCTTATATTCAAGACTATCTTAAGTTCTGCCTTGAGATGTCACGAATCAATCCGAGAACCACATTGGCGTCTTAAGACATTACTTAAGACGGTCTTAAAATAAGAAGGGACTATAAATATCGTCTCTGATTGGTTCGTGATAGCTTGAGACAGTTTTAAATATAAGACTATGAATATCGGTCTTAAAGTAAAGTTGTGAATCTAGACTTAAGCCGTAAAAAATTATCCAATCATGTAGATACAGTATGACTCGGGCTTAGGCATCGCCGAGCGATTTCTCGTTCAAACTAGGTTGCACGCTTAACCCTTTCAACCTGCCAGGCTGAGGTGGTGGCACGATGCGGCGTTCCGTCGGTAGACATCCCCGTCGGAGAAATCGTTCGGTTCTCTCTCGATTTCCGTTCTCCGTGTCAAATTAGTCCGTCGATCGAAGAATTTTTACAACAAAGCTCGCGTGTCAGAAAACATCCGTACACTATGAATATTCCTCCCTCCGTTTTCTTCTTGTTTTCTCCGTCGAATAGCGAGACCGCGGCACGTGGACGTGTATTAATGCCGCCACATATCATCAGCGATGACTATGCTGGTTGGCAATGCGCGCGTGCGTCATTAATAGGAAAATCTATCATTATTTTTCACGCGTATACCTGTATCAAGGCTCCATCGTGATTAATCGTCGATATCCGCCTTTCGCGATATCGCGCGAGACGAGGCGAGATCTATCTGGGGATGGGAATTAGCAGAGGAAGATCCGAGGAAGTGAGGCGAAGCGAAGAAAGTTGGAAAGCTTCAAAAGAACAAAGGTGCAATGTACGTCATTGCTCGCACGACCTCCCGTTGCGCCAGCTGTACCGAATGTTTCTTTCTCTTTTTAGTCTTAAAAAAAAAATTAATTTTACGCAATAATGTTTAACAACAATTCAATTAAATTCGGGAAGAAATATTTTATTGTTAGAAGAAATGTTTTATTACTCGTCACGTTGAATGAACAAAAGCATTAATAAAACGATAAGATTGCGTAGTTCTATGACGGTAATAAAGATGACCTTTTAATAACTTATTATATATCATTATGTTCTTACTCTCATTACCGGTTTATTATACATTATTATATTATATTATTTCATACTTTGATTTATTATATACATTGTATACCTGCAAAGAAATAACGAATCTCTTTTTGGAAAGGAATTTCGTCAATCTGAATAAAGAACAGAAAAGACAAAGATTGATCAATTTTGAAAAGTCAGTAATCTTCAGAAGAGAGACACGAACAAAAAAAATGAATCCTCAAGGACCCAATAATATCGGATTGCAGACGATTTCTTTCATCCCATTTGATTTACAGTCCCTTTTTTCCAGTGTCTTTCCTTCCACGCATTCCTTTCTTTCATCTTATTTTACTGTATTTTCTACGCACTATTGTGTTCCAGGAAAATGCGTGTTCGTGGAACAGAATATAAATTCTTCGAGCACTTTGGTGCTGTTGAACTGAAAATAATCTTGTTGATTTAACAACAGTATTAACGAAACAAATAAAATTTTATTAAAACAAGAGCATGACTTATTTGTTTCATTAATGGTGTTATTAAATTAATAAAATTATTTTCAACTAAAATAACGCTGTTGATACATCATTTTTTTCAGTGTACAATATTTTTCTAGTATTTTGCTATACGATATTTTTCGAGAATAAGGCCCCTGTTCTTTTTAGCTGAATTTCTCACAGAATTCAGCTTTCCTTCTTTTCTCTCCATGTCGGGAAAAAAAAGGAAAAGATAAACCGTGCAAGAGTACAGCTAAAAGAACACAGAGACCTCACAAGCTCCGGTTTCACCTATGTAAAATTCACTTTAATCTCGGTTTAACTCACTACTTATCTTTTTCTGATTTTCTTAGAATTAGATAAAAAGTAAATTGATCCGAGATTAAAGAAGTTAATCACACATTGGTGAAATGATCGTGTATCTTGAAACAAGATAAAAATTATAAAAAGGAGCAAATTCACTAGATGTTGATTATAATGAAATTATATAAACAATGAAGACTAACTGTAAGATTAAAAACAGGATTGTTTACTTGAAGGAATCAACTAAATACGAAAAAGCGCCAATACAAATTTATTATAAATAATGAATTTGCACTTTCGTAATTTTCACCTCACTTCAAGATACACAATCGACCTCCGAGTCTCACTGGCCTTTCTTGATTATGATAGCAAACGGCGCGCGCTATCGCGACGTATAATCTTCGTTCGGGACACCCTGTATGATACACGGTCGCCCGTCGAGCGAGATGAAATCGTGTACGTAGGCCCGGTGATAAGTGAGGTGCATGTACAACAGGTCAATGATCTTCCGTTGCAAACCGAGTAATTATTCGATCGATTGCACGACGGCGTGTCTCGGCGGTCCTTCGCGTCAGTCAATCACGAATCACGAATTTAATACGCCCGGGCGTGTTTTGTAAACGACGTGGCCGGGCTCCGGTTATCGTCGATTACGCCAATCTAGAACACGTAGACTGACGTAGACACGGTCTACGCGGCGTGCGTGCACGCCGTTCACGCATATTAATCTCGTACTCCGAATTCCGTCGACGCCGTCTCGCCAGTAATTCACGCGTCGATCCTCCGTTAAACGGGGGGGAACCCACGCGAAAGGCACCGAGAGAAAAGAGCACAGGGAACGACTCCTTCTCCCTTCCCCCCTCAACTTCGACCCCCCGAGGACCGCAGGGCGGTCGCGTACCTTGTTGAAGTGGGTCTGCAGAAGCCGCTCATACTGATCAACCGCACGCAGGCAGAGCCTCGTGGTGAACGCTTCCATTCGTGCTGGCAGGGGCGGGTGACACACACTGCTCGACATTATTTATCCGTTCCGGGATACACCCGCGTTCACGCGTGCACGAATACAGACTATATACGTTGACAGACGTGAACACGAGAACACTGTTCCTTCGCGAGCGAGCGAGCGCGCACGCCCGCCCGGGATCGTTCACCGGGGAGTGTTCACCAGGCGCGGACGAACGTCGGCGTTCCTAACCTCCATCGGATGATGGTCGAAGGCGACGAGCACGGCCGCCGGCCGAGGCGAATCGACGAATGACGTGCGCGGGGCGCCGAGCGGTTTCTGAAACCACCCTGAGGCGGCCTGAGGTCCCTACGGATTGGAACCCGGTACCCGGTACTCTCGGTAGGCGCGAGTCGCGCCGAGCGGATTGGCCGAGCCGGCCGAACTCGGCTACAACGGTCCTTCGCTCTCTCCTCCTCGCTCCAAACGCATTTTTCTTGTTCCGTCCCGCTCGCCTCTTCTCGCTTCCGTTTAACGCCGTCACGTTCCCTCCAGCTCGCTCGGCTCGTCTATATTCTATCTATCCTTCTACCCGCCGCGTGCGTTACACTTCCCGTGTCATTCCTTCCCCTCCCCGTATTCGCTTCATCCTTCTCTCCCACTTTCTCGCGCTCTAATCTCGTTCTCTTTCTTCGGCTGCTACCCACTGCTACCGCCGCATGCGCGCGCGTGTGCAGTCGACGTCACCGGCGTCACCGCTACTGCGTGCAACACGAATCAACACGAATCGCTACGCTACGCGCCGCGCGGCGAGACGGACGAGATACGGTACTCCACTCCACTCCACTCCGCTCTGCTTCGTCCGCTTTGCGCTTCACGACGTCACTGCGCGATGCGTTCGTATACACCGTAGGCAACACTGAAGCGACGAGAGAGCGCGAATGTAGTTTTATCGGTACGGTTGTCCCTCTCCCTGAGGTTTGCCGATTGTCCCGATACGCAACGTACGGAACGTAGGCTGTCGGCGATGTGCGGCTCGGAGGAGGCTATGAAATAAATAAATAAAGCCGGATCCCCTTTTTCGCAAAGCCCAGCTGTGAGCCGTCATTCGTCTTCGCGCTTTGAGAAAGTGCGCTCGCACGTTTTCTATTTGGATTATTCGACGCATATTTTTGTATCTAGCCGAGAATACCGACTTCCGTATCCTCTTCTCGTCTAGAAAAAATTAGAAAAACCTCTCTATTTTTTTCTCTCCTTTTTAGATTTGCACACAATGATCGGGAATAATATCCCCATTTCTATCAACTCTAGCACAATTTATTGGCTCAATATTGGTTCAATATTGACCCAATGTTTAACTGTGTCCAACATTTAATTTAAAATGTGTCCAAATTCACTGACGAATCATAAAAAAATTTTATTATTAACGAGCGTTTTGCGCTATCATCTTTTTGACTTATTTTAAATTTGACTTCGTAATTAACCGATTCTTAATGTTCTGATTTTGCGACGTGATTTGTAAACAATTATCCGAAATTCATATTTGTTGTTTATATACTGAAGAAGGCCTGATCGAGGCTGAAACGTTTATAGTTATTATTGTTTGAATTATATATCAACAGAATAAAATATTATCTCGTTACCAAGAACTTGTGGCACATGCCCTTCGTTTTATTAATTTAAAACGTGTCATCAATAAATTGTTATTAGGAAATGTGGATTAATTTCAATCTCGGTTTTTAATTCACTTTTATCCTTTTCCTTAGTTCTAAGAATAAAAAATAGATTCTCGTCTTCGATTTCCTCTTTTCATCTATACGGAGAGAATTTTTTTTTTTAATTTATCACTTCAGTCAAAATTAATCAAACTTATTTTATACTTTATTGTAGTTTTGTTAATGAATGAAAGAGATTTACATTAAAATTCTTCAAAATACAATGTTGTCGCAGGTTGACTACCATATTTTCAAGGTAAGTTCTAAGAAAAAATCCTCTCCGTGCAGTGAAAGAAAGATCAAGCAAGCTGTTTATTATTCCTCTTAGATTAATTTTAATACCATTTTTTATTTTTTTCCCTAGTTCTAAGAATAAAAAAAAGATCCTCGACTTCAGCCGCTTTCCCACGACCTCGCCCTGTTCGTTACTCGCGTTTTTGTATACATCGTGCCTATAACGGGTGACTCACAAATGGCGGGGACGCTTCGCTGACAATATGCCGCGACGACTTTAAGATTTTTCGTATTTGACGTAAGCTCCTTTTCATCTTTCCGACGAAGATCGGCTTCGTCGGAAACGGAGCTCTTGGGAATCCGTGAGCCGCACGGCTGATTCACTTCCGGATGCGGTCCGTGACGCGAATCAGGATCATAGATCTTATCGAGGGAAGCCTGTTTCGTTCTTCGGATCCGTCGCGGTGTACGAAGGCGCGCCACGGTGAAGCGTGAAACGGAACGATTTCGGGGTCGCCGTCCCACATTTTTTCAAGAGGATGTTCCTGTTCGAGCGGCCTTCGAATCCGTTTGTCGGACCTATGGATACGAATGCGTGCCTGTCATCGGTATCTGTCCGAAATCTTCCAGCAACCCTTATTAAACCGCGATCAGACTAGAGATCGAGATTGAAATTAGATTGAAAATTAACCAATCAAAGCGAAATTCACTAAATATGAAATTGGTTTTTATTTCTGATTGGTTAAATTCTAATCCAATCTCAGTCTCAATCTCTAATCTGAAGACAGCAGAAAAAGCAGCTTTGCACACATCTAATTGGTTTATAAACCATACACAATCATACAAAAGAATTTTATAATACCTGTAAAACTACTTTTTCTGTTGAATGCAGCGAATGCAGCTATTAACTCTCCGGAGTTGTGATGGTAGATCTATGTAACTTATTCCATTATATTCTTTATGACATCTGCAAATTTAAATTATTGTTATTAAATTAAACTCAGTATTCACACATACACACATATACACACTTTTTTATATGAATTATGACGCTTTAATTGCTTGAAATTAATTAGTGCTTTTTAGTCAGCATAAATTAAATGAGCCTCACAGACTCAACGTGAGTAATTGTGTTACAGACCTCAACTCCGAAGAATTAAAAATGACTTCGACTAAACCTCGATTGACGACAGTTAATTCAACAAAATTGCTATCAAAACTTCCAACTACGCACTGGAAAAAAAGTTTCGCTGTATTAATTGGAATTCTCATAGATTCAATCAGAAAGATACAAATCAGACGCTTACATCTATATCTATTAGATATTCTAGTCGAGATAATCAGAAATTCAATTACGTCTTACGATAATCAGAATTCTGATTCATATGATCGGAACTCGTTTTATTTGTACTTCTTGTTGGTACAACCAGAATGTTTTTCTCAGTATATAACTTCTAACTCATCCCTAATCTAATCCCTGTTTTCACGTGACAAACATCTAAAAACTAATCATTCTGTCCACATTGCTAAAATAGTGCAGGTATTACTCGATAAGTTAATCGGAGTTTAGTCAAAGTCACCCCGGTCGGTCGATCGATTAGCCGCTATCTCTTCGAGCCGATTCCCGGTCATCGGTGCCGCTTGCTGACGTAAATCGCATTATCAAGGAGAAAGTCGACGCCCGCTGTACGACTGTCTTTACGGCCGCTTTTACGCGAGTTTTTGGAGAACTAGAAACTGTCTTGGTCTCATGTGTCTAGTTTCTCCGGCGACGACGTCAATCGATTGAAAAAAAAGAGAGACCGGGCTAATTCGTATTCCTGGTGTCGCAGAAACGTGACGATCAGCTCGCTTTTATTCGGGCGGCAAGGTAGGGTGATCGACCGTAAAAATATGAGTACGAGAACATACAGACAGTATGTCTTCAATTGGTATCCATTACATCCTATACGTTCTCACGTTCCTCGAGAGGAATTCTGTTGAAACGAGACGCGGCCATCGAAAACTTCAAATACATCGGTCGGAAGTGTCTACTCGGTATTTCTCTCGGCGAGCACCAAGCTACGCTTACGATTAGCTTAGAACGTTTAAGCTAAGTCTTTATTGCAACAACAATGAGAAACTTTTTATTACTCGTTGAATACGTTTCCGAATTACAAACATCTTCTCTCGATTGGAAACACGCGACAAACTGTAAGTTTTGTCGTTAGCAACAGAAGTGTATTAAAGCCTGGTACCATTACGGTAAGATTAACTTTAATCTCGGTTTAAGTTGCTGTTTATCTTTTTCTAATTCTTAGAATTATAAAAAGACAAAGAGTAATTGAACCGAGATCAAAGTTAATCTTACATTATCGGTGGAATCTGACCTAAGAAACATCAAAAAACATTTCAACAACCGCCAACTTTTTCGAGAAACATGGAACATCAACAAAAAGTTTTTCATTGTTACTCAGTTGGGAACACAACTAACAATAAGATAGTTTAGCAGTTATTCCGGATTATTGGCAATTGAAAATGTCTATACTGAAAGAACTTCTATTGTGACAGTTTCTTCTGTTGTGACATGTTGACGCGTATTTCTCATTGTTCTTTCATATTTACCGATTATAAACATGTGACAAGCAGCAAACTCTTGTTGCTAACAACAAAAACATTAAAGCTGCACTGAAAAAAAGATTGGCTGCTGCAGCAAATTAGATAGTA